AACCTTCCACAACCTGTTCCCCCCCCTGTGCTCACACAGAACGTGTCCCATGTCTTTTTCCTCTGGATTTTTCCATCTTGTTTTTTTTTTTTCACTGACTAGAAACAAGACAAATAGTTTTTTTTTTTTTTCACTGACCAGAAACAAGACAATTATCGTCATTTTATATATATATTTATATATGACACTAAAATTTGTTTCATACCAGTCTTTTCTGTAATAAAACATTGATATATATGACACTAAAATTTGTTTTATACCAGTCTTTTCTGTAATAAAACAAAATGAACAGAACCTCAAGGCCTTTATACAAATAGTTCACACATATCCTTGAAAACCTTGAAGACCTGATGTCTTGTTTATCATTCTGTTGAACATAAAAAAAAGTCCTGGAAAAAACAATTAAGGACAAAGTGAAAATGCTGACGGTGCTTTAGTTTTGTACTTTTATTGTATTTGTGATAAAATTGCACTTTAATCCATCAGTACAAACATTTTCATCTCATCTCATTATGTTTCAGGCCAAGAAGCAGCCAACCAATAGACAGAGCAGGACCCCTGAATATACAGATTGAATCAAATGGATTTGTTATTCCCAGTGTCATGTCTCACAGGACCACATGTAGAGACAACCAACCATTTACACTCACATTCAGACCTCTAGTCAATTAACTTGTACCTAATAATGGATGTTTTGGTGTTTATTTTTCAGTGTGGAACATTAACAATACATGATAGACATGATAGACATGTGACATGTGAGTGTGAGACTTTGTGTTTGTGTGTTTATTAGCCTCCAGGCCTGGTTCTCTGCTCCCTGTCACCTCAGCAGACCTGATCAGTGGATCCGTGTCACTCTTCTGTCACAGCTACTGTGTCACAGCCGTGAGAAACACACACACACACACACAGACAAAAAGGTAGGATACACTGACCACCCTTCTCACCCTCCTTTAACAGAGACATTTATTTTATATGATTAAAGCAGAAATCCTGGGGAAAATAAGCAACACAGGTGAAGACAGGAGTCGTGTTAGCACACAGGCTAACACCTTGGGATTGAATAAGTGTAGTTCAAACCTCTTAGTGTTAAATTAGAAATGTAGCCTAAAGATTAGATTCTCCTTCGCGTCCATCAAGTTGCAGCTCAACTCCCACTCGTGTCTGTGTCTGGTTTTGTGCTTCAAACACAATGTGACAGACGCGGGTGTTCAGCGGCCTAATGAATCTGCCCCCTGTGTGTTTTCCTGCGGAAGTCCACAGACAGTCAGCCAGTGTCTGACCGGTAACTGAGTGCATCATAAAAGATAAAAAAAAAAAAAACATTGTCAAAAACATCTGCGTCTGATTTGCGAGGTTGTAAATTTTAATTTACTACTCAATTTGAGTGATTTAAATGAGATTTTTCATTTCTGAAACCTGTCCACTGCACTGACCGTTAACTCCAACCCTTTAATTTAGTTTCCGGATGTTGATGCTGTCGCCTCAAAACTTTTAAATCACAGCAGCACATTGTGGGAACGATATAATTTGACAACAATATATATATATATATATATTTATCCAGTGTTTTAACCCGTTCTCTGGTGAGTCGTTTTACACTGTCAGCACAGTGTTTTCTAAGGCAGCCGGCTCTCAGCTTCCTGACTGGTTCTGAATATGTATGTTGAACAAACCTGCAGAACCACAGGAGGAGAATCTCTTCTTGTTGCTTATTCTGTTTTATGTCCGACCTGCGCTGCAGGGAGGATACGGTCGAGTCTTCTGTGCAAACAGGTCAGGCGCAGGAGTAGGTGTAGAGAAGGACGGCAGCCCGCTGCCAGAATATCATTACAGTTTTGTAGCGTGTGCCACTCGGTGACTTGGTAACAACTCTTTAGTTTGTGTTTCTGTGGAGGCAGAGCAGAGATGTGTGAGCAGGAGGAGGAGAAAGCTTCAGGTGGAGAAGTGAAGAGAAAAATCCTGGAAATTAGTTGTCAAAACTGTGTTCTTTTTGTTGTTGTTTTTTTCTTTTGTCCATTTTTTTTTCTTTGCTCAAAAAGGATTAAATGACAAAAGAAACATTTCCATTGTGTTTGTCACTGGCCTTGGGTTAAATCTGTCTGTTGTAGCAGTGAAGCAGGAAACGCCACAATACCTCAGTGTGTGTGTGTGTAGCTATACCTCTGGGGACAATTTTAAGAAAAAGGCCATAGGTGTGAGGACACTTTGACCTTGTGGTGACGTTTTGATGACCCTCACTGACTGAGAGGACAATGTAGGGTTCAAGGTTTAGTTTAGAGTAATATTACAATTTTAATTGTAATATTTAAGATAAAGCTGGAGAATGTGTGTGTAAATGGAACAAATGTGTGTGATGCATTCCTACAGTAGAAATTGCAGTGTCGAAAATATGTGTTTCCCTTTTCTGTTTGTTTGTTTGGATTAGAACAGATTAGAGCTGGGGTGTTGTGTTATATTTAGACATATATTTAGACATATATTTGTAATAGTTCACATGAGGTTAAGGAGCTGGGTAATGCAAAATGTCTGAGTGAAGTGCTCACTAAACACAAAACCAACATGTGGGTGTGAGTGTGTGTGTTTTGTCTCCTCCTCCTCTGGTTTCTGTTTAGCGACACTGATGAAGGTGCTAGCTTTGGCTGGTTGACAATAACGACTCATTACTGCATTGATTTGGAGGACATTAAGTAAATAACTAAACAAATGAGACCGTCTTGTTAAAAATTCTCTGCTTCATTTCGCTCCATTTATCAGTCGATGTCGATAAAGAGCGCCACACGCTGGAAACGTTTTTTTGAAGATCTTCAGTCTGACGGTCTGTCTTTCATGGTCTCCCATCAGTCTGAGGTTAGGCTGAATTTTCCTTATGAATTTGACTTTTCCAAACAGTGGCCCACGGGCCACATGCAGCCCGTGCCAATCCTCAGACTGGTCCAGTCTGTGGTTATTTAAAATCTTACAACCAGTACATTGTACCAGCTCTGTGGTCTGTGTTTACACTGGGTTGAACTGAGTCATATTTGTTCATTAAATCTCAGCTAACAGCGCCCCTATCTCTCTTTGGGGGAATTACATCACCTCTGCAGTCTAGATTAAAAAAAAGAACATTTATTTAGCGTGAATATAAAGAAGTTTTGCTTCAATTGGAAACCTTTAAAAAGACAACAACAAAAAAACAACAACAACAACATAACAAGGCAGAGTTGACAATGTGGACGTGAGTAGGAAATAAAAGCTCACAGACTGTGTTACCAACAACAGCCACTAGGACACTGTCTGAAGACATTAACGTCCTGTTTGTTACATCAGACTCTGCGACTGTAATGTTTTAACGGTTCCACCCGGTGTTTATAGTGACACTGATAATACACCACCGGTGTTTATAGTGACACTGATAATACAGAAGTTGTTGTAGTGAATGAGGGGATGGAATAAAGTCTGAGACGCAACTGTTTTTCAACTAACTTGAGGACGACGTGCAGGAGGTTGAGATATATTTACTGTGAAGGTTCAAATAAAGAGGGAAGTTTTAGTTCATCAACGCAGCACAACAACGAATAAATGCATGGATAATCACGTCCATTTAAGGACTGGCCACAACGGCTTTTTATGACTCGGCTCGTAAAATCACCGTAATTGTTTTTTGAAAGCAGCAGCACACTGTGTACCGAGCGCTTCTATCAACCTAACGACAACCCGGAGGGGAGAGCAAGTGTCAAACGGACATTAGATTCTACACAGACACCGTTTCCATTTTGTCGAGTCGACGACCTTCTTCTTCTCAGACAAAAACTAAATGAATATGAAATGAGAAGTTATGTTGACCACGGTGACAATGATGTTGCGATGATCTAGTCAACGTTTAAACACAAGACGGGCGGGGATGAAGTAAAATCAACGCTGCTTTCATCCCGTAAACTGGAGGACCGTATTAGAGCGAGAGCCAATCAGAGCTTGGTTTGTTGGCTAGACAAAGGGAAATGTAAACAGAGAGCCAATCAAAGCCAACACATATGTTCTAGTAGAATAAACGGGAGGAAGTTTTAGTCCAGGGGTCACCAACATGGTAGCCTCCGTGGACTACTACTGTGACAGAAACAGATGTTATTTTTACACTGACATACTCTAGAGGGCACTCTAGCTGGCTGGTGTCACTTATACTCCGAAACAACTAATGGTCCAGAATGTATGGTATTTACGTTAAATTTAAGCAAAGTGGAAATACGCATAATGAAATGCTAACAGCCTCCATGACGATCCAGAACTGAGCTGTCGATGACAGATCACTTCCTGCAGGAGTGATTCAGACTCAGAGCATCAAGTCAGTGTATGGACTGTAGATGAGAGCTTTGTTTATCTGTGATGAACTGACTCCAGATCAGCCTCTCTCCTCTCTGTGACTCTTTAGGATACAGACCTAAACCGGGCTGAGATCACAGACACAGAGATTGCCCCAGGGAGAGCTCTTCAGATCATCAACGTTTGCCTCAGAAAACACTCCATCCTGACTGTGACTGTGATGCTTTCATCTTATCTCCTCAACCATAGAACCCTGAACTCGTGGAGCAGGTCTGGCAACAGTAAGAATTTAATCACGCTGCACCCACTGAGCTCAAGAGGGCCCCACCACACGACCAGGCCACGCCCCCTCGGTGTTTCTTATCCGTCTGCTTAAACAATATTAAGGCAGATCATTTTCTGCTCATTTCATCTTCAGTAATCAGCGCGCTGACCTGACTGAAGAACACGGGGAGGTGAGAGACGTCGTCTGCTTTGTTGCTCTTCACTCTCTCTGCTCGTTATTATCTCTCCACCTCCCGCCTCTGCAGACTCCCCCCCCCCACCCCTGACTCCCCCCTCGCCTCAGCGTTCGGGCCACAGATGTAATCACATATAGTCGGTGATGAAGATGAAACCGTCCTCTGCCTCCACTGGTTCCCGTCTCCGCTCAGTTGAACACAGCCCCCTCTGTTGTTGCTGAGGAAACAAACGTTTTGTACAGTTGAGACCAGAGCGGTGACTTGGACGCCATCAAACACAGAGCAGGAGGCGCGAGGAGCGTGAGTGGAGGAAATTAGCAGAGTAAATAGTTTCTGGGTGTTTGTCCACGGACGTGTTTGCAGCTGTAATTAGTGCAGTCGCCCAGACCAGCCATGCAGAGGAAATGGACAAATAATGAGGCGTTAGTTACGCCAAATCACACAGCCACAGGCTTCATTTAACACAATCGCATACGTGTACGAGGCCGTGGTTGTTAAAGCTGGTGAACACTCAGATTCATGCAGGTCCAAAAATTAAAATGTGACCAAGAGATGGGTGAACTAGTCCACAGAAGGCCGACATGAAGGACAGAGACGGTGGACAGAGTATCACAGTACTACTTTATTAAACCCTTTTAAAAACATAGTCGACTTTTGCAACATCCGAGTCAAAAATGTCCGTCCTTCGGTAACACGACCAACTCAGTCTCATTTTCATCTTCTTTAAATGAGTCCTCACTACTACTGAAGTAGAAGGCCATATTGACCAGTGATTCATGAGTTAATAACTCACTACTACTGAAGTAGAAGGCCATAATGACCAGTGATTCAGAGTTAAAGGCTCTTAATTTTGGACGTTTCCGTTGTAGTTTTCTGTGGATAAATAAAAATTCAATATTCATTGATAGGAGGTGATCACCTGTTTTAGAGCTTTTATTTTATTTAAAAAAAAACATGAATTAATGTGAATATTTTTTTCTTTATGTGATACATGGTCCCAATGTGAAAGGTTGTTAAATCATTTGAATGGTTATAAATGAGTGAACATTTAAAATCAATTTCAAAGGTCACAGGTCAACTGAAGGATCAAATTGCAAAGACAAGAATCTATTGAATTTCCAATCATGTTCTGCAGGAGTTTTCCTTTCATACATGTCCAGGTCTACAGTACATGCATGTCATCCAGTGACGTTCCCTCTACTCCGACTCCATGTGCTCCTGAAACATGGAGATATAAACTTTCTAGAATTGCTGCCTCCAGCAGTCATGTAAAAATCTTGATTTCAAACTTATAAATCCTAATATAAACTTTTTTTTTTTTTCAAAAACATCAAAAAGTGCCAAAAGTGTTTAAAACTCATCTCATGGATCTGCATAATACCTGCCCTGAAGATCAGAGCCACTGCAATAAAAAAAAATAAATAAAAGTGACTGTATGTGACAGCAATACAGATGTCTGTGAAACTCACTGCAGTACTGACGTGTACTCTGTGGAGAAGTGAAGTATTTCAGTGGATGTCAGTGGAAATCTGACTGTGAACATTGGTTCAACCTGGTGTTTGTCTTTCTGATGACGGTTTAATCTGAGCAACCACACCTTGGTTTG